TTAGGTCAACTTGCATTAGAACTCCGAGACCAAGAGTGATGAAGAAGTTGATAGAAAACCTAGCACTTTTGGGTTGTCACTTGGCATTATGCTGGCAAAGTCGAGAGAGAGAGAGGTTCATGTGGTAATAAGACACATGACATTTAATTAGAAGCACAAGTTATTAATAGTGTCATTATTTCTTCATTAATCTGATGCCAGTCACTGTTGACTCTTTCTCATTAAAATTTGCAATATTGTGGGCTATGATTCAAACCCTCAGTAATACCAAGATACATCAGGTAGTTAATTTAACAATAAAATCTCATGTATTTTACATATACAGGGGCGACAAATTCGTTTGAGTTGCGCCCTGGAAATGCTTGTCTATTTCCTACTATTCACGTAATGTTATGAAAAGCATCAGGCCTAGTTGTTTTTGTTTTCTTTTAGATTTAAATGTGTCGGTACTGTCATTTTAATTGGAGAGGGAGAAGAAATCGAGGACGCGGAACGAATGTGGTGGTAAGGTTTGGAGAGAGGTCTCAGTAAGCCCCTCCCCAGAAAATTTTTGATAAATTAAAAATGATGGGATGCATTTGGGCGCATTCATAAATTTAGTTTTACATACTTGTACACTTAACTGAACAGAAAAGATGCTGATTGAAATTTAGGTTCCCTTGACCATGCATGGGTTACATAATTTCTTTTTATTCTGAGTTGCATCTAAATAGTAATGTTGTTTCACAATTTTATTTGAAACAATTTATTTGTTCAAAACAGTTGACCGTTAATTAAAAAAAAAAAGAAAAAAAAAGACAATCTATTAGTATGTTAGTACAATAATTAAAATAATTATAATTTTGAATTTAATTTACAAACGGGAGTATGTTTTCCCAAAATTTACATCAACAATCTGAGAAAATCACCGTTTGTAGAAGAGGGCTATAAATTTTGTATGGCTATTTCAAACATGACATTTTTTAAATTAATTTGATCTAAATGGTAAGAAAAGACATCATCTATTTATTAGTGTGATTTGTAGAAGGGAAAATGAGACAGCATGAATATCCAAACAAATGAAGTAACTTAAAATTTTTAACTTCTTTAACTTTCTTCATTTAAAGTACTAAATAAAGAACATTTGATGTCTTTTGAAAGACTCTGATTTACTCCTCCCCCAAATCCACACAGAGGTTCTTTCAGGCATACTTTGAGTAAATTTAATTTTTTAAACATCTTTTAATTTATTTATTTAGGCATTTTTATATAGCGCTTACCATAAAGCTCTAAGCGCTTTACAATTATGAAAAACATGTAAACTAAGTAAAATAAAAATGAGACACTAGGATAGTAACTACTATACTATAGAAACAATGAAAATGGCTATAAAACGAGGACACTTTGACTCTATTTGGCCTATACTTCAGGATCAACCCGAAACAGAAAATAGAAGTTTGTGCCTTTCACTTTCACGATTACAATTAATGGAACCAATAAAATTTTGTTATGCTCGATATATATTTATGATCTGTATCGCTCTGGTTAATCTTGTCACAGGCTTACAGAATTCTATATAAATATTGTATTGTTTTGAAAATAGGCCGCTCCTGATCATAAGCTAAAATCTTACTTTTTTTTTTGGTCGCTTTTACCGGCATTTTAATTTTTTACATTTTGCAGCTTCAAAAGTTGAAAGACTTTAATAACACTGTATTAAACTAACTTTACATCGATATGCAGGTCTATAAATGAATATAGTTCTTGCAAAGTATTTTAAACAAGTGCAATCTGTTTTCAAATTATATTACATCATAAAAGCATGACTGTAGAAATGAGTAAAAGCATGACTGTAGAAATGAGTGTTAATTATAAAAATAAAATGAATGTATAGTAGCAAGTAGCATCATGCTTTAAAATATTCCGTTTTAGCATGAATTTCAACGTACCGGTACTCGATTCCATCCATCAATGTTGAGTTAAATAAAATGAAAACTAAAAAAAATTATATTTTAAAACAAAAATGAGGAATTTGACATTTGCATACAACTAGTGGACGATTCATAAATTATTTTAAATTGAGTACGTTTCTAATTTTTCTAATTTTGTAACAGTTTGGTTAACAACGGAGTAAAATGATGTTTTAAAATAAAATAAAAAACTTAGCCTTTATTTATTAAATCTCCAAAGACTTTTCTCTCTTCAATATCAGAATAATAAACAATCCTCCTCAGCTGTTTGCACGCATTTTTTGAAAATCATTTTTTTAGATGATAATCCAGTGCAAGTAGAAAGTATATATTTAAATAATTTGACAAAATAAAATTTACAATAACAAAAAAACACACACAAAAATAGCATTTTGGTATCTTGCAAATGCCTTTTTTTTCTTTTTTTTTTTTTTTGTTTAGTAGTAAAAATAAATTTTATGGAATTTGTAAAAACATTTTTTAAAAATATATTGAAATTTGTAGTGGATCTGAAGAAAGTTACAGTAGTTTGAAAATCTAAATGAATATTTCAATCAATTGAATTTTGGGAATTTAAACTTTATTTTTATATGATTTCCTTCAAATAAAATCACATACTAATAAATATATGATTTCTTTTGTAAACAATTTATGTCTTCTTAACCTAATTATGCTGGTTCTATGTGATTTACAAAAAACGCCAATTTTGAAAAGCCATAAAAATGTATCGCCCTTTTTACAAAAGAGGTATTTTTTTTCACTTTGACTTGGACTTGGTAAAACTTGGAAATATCTAGAAATAGACATATGTTTTGGTTTTTCTTTTTCATTCAACGTGTAAAATTATTTTAACAAATTCTTTTTTGTTATGAATAACTTTACCGAAACTTTACGTATAAGATCAACATTTTTGTCAGTGATATATCAGTGCTCTCATCTACTGTCAATGTGTGGAACTTAGCGTTGCGAAGTTTGCTAATTATGGCATCCTTGACCACACAATTAATAGAATCAGCAAACTCAAAAGCATAATTCTTACTCGGCCAGCTATCAGGGACTGGGGCATACTTAGCCACATGGTTGTGTAAGCATTGATCCGTATTTATAGATGTGTTCATGTGGATAGCCAAGAGGACGTACAAGCTTGACAGACCCCTTTGACGAGTGACGGCAAATCTAGTAGTGCTGCATTAACAAATTCATTGAGCCATTCCTTTTTAAAATTTGATCTACACTTTTTCTAAGCAAGCGATGATGCTGACAGTTTGCTTAACTGACGTTCAGACATAACGGTTAAAACATTAATAAAAATAATGATCTACTTTTGCTGTCATCCATCCGTCACAATGTGACTATGGTGTGGGCTTCGGAGGACGAAATCCACAAGGCCTGGGATTATTCTTCAAGGATTATAAGCTGGTTCCCAACAGCAAATTGCCTTTCTCCGTGCCGCTGGATAACCCAAGGGAACATTTGGATGATACAGCTTGGCACCAGTGGCATCGCAGGAGTTGTCAGAATGATTCATTGTACCAATAATATCCGCCTTCGGGACTCCATCTCGGGATTTGATTTCAGAGTTTCCTTCTCTTGGATGAGTTCCCATCCAAGGTTAACGAGTCCCATCTACCCTGGTGCTGTTGATGTTTTTGCTTGACTGGACTTCGGCTGGAATTGAACTCCAGACCACCAACTTGAGATTTGCTACTACATTTATAATAAAATAGAGATATGCAATTTATTTACTTTTTACACATTCACTGCACAGTATGCGCCTCCAAATTTACATGAATGACAGCAGTGTTTCAGAACGAGACTAACTGATCCGCTATGTATCGTTAAGTATGTAAATCAATAGTTCTACGTAACATAATGAAGAAGAAAATATAAATCAGAATCAACTAAAAGCATGGATGTATATGTTATAAGAACTATCATTCCGGCTGCAGAGTGCAGTGTATCTGTTCGAATTTATTTTTATAAAATTTTGATAATTTGCTCGGATACTGCACGGATACTCAAAACTGCTGCGTGGCGTCTGTGTGTGAGAGTGAACATTGCAACCATATCTGAAAACTAGACATTGATTTCTTTAAATCTGCACCCTTAAAAATGCTCTTTTGAAATGCCTAAAATTCAAAGCAACAATAATTTGTTGGTCTGTGGTATATAAATAAATATGGATCGATAGACTGGTAGATGAAAAACATGTTACATACCGTTGGGTGTTGAGAATTAAATCTATTTTTTTACTATATGGCTCGTGACAAACAGTACATAAAAAAGGACGATACCATTAGTTGAATACAGTATAAAGAACGATACCTAAACTAGGGCTAGTTACAAATAATAATTTATGAAGTTAATTTTAAAATTACAAAATCAATTAGCATAAAACTAAGGCTATTCACTTACTCTACAGCAATTAACTGTTACCAGTATGTTGAAAAGGTGCATACACACACACTAAATAAATATATACAAACCTACAATCAGTACAGTATCATAATTGCAAACTCATTCTCTCCCTTTATCTTGTAGTCACTATCTAGAACAATCTGTTCCCTATGTTGATCGGCTTATTTATAGTCTTTCATAGATACTTTTATCTCTTATCTGGGCCTGTCTCGCATGTTCTAAAGAATTCTTATTCTAAAGACTATAGACTATGTTTACATGTAGTCAAGGGAGACAATTTATATTTTGGCCACACGCATCATCGTTGAACCTTGGGGTCACCCAGAGTTCGTGCACGGGTTTTACAGTGTAAACAAGACATCTACAAAACAGATGGATGTATCATTGTTGATAAATCTAAAACTTTTCCTTTTTTTTTTTTCATTTTTCAGAATCTTTCCAGTCAAAAGAATTCCACTTCCAGCATCATCAATGTCCAATATGGAGTATCATGAAGAGCATGGTTGCTTGAGCAATAGGAAGGATGATTTGTATTTTAATAATACAAGTTGTATTAGAAGATATTACAATGATGCTTTTAAAGAAATGTATTCAACAGGTGTAGTGTCCTTAAATTTGATGAAAAGTATTCAAACAGCATTAATGGTGGCTGTAGAGAGAGAGGACATTGAGACCCTTAAAGTACTCTTCGAGGTTGGCATTGACCCAAATGATTCAAGTTCTTCTTGCAATGGCTCTACAGCCCTGACACTGGCCATTCAGAAGGACCTCACATTGTCTGTAAAAGAACGTGTACGGATGGGGGCACATTTCACTTGTGAGAAAGGAATCGAAGCATTAGAACTGGCTGTGTCAAAATGTTTCTTCCAAGACCTCATCTTAGGTGAGAATAAACTTTTTTCAGATTATGAACCAAAAGAGCCTTTTAAAACTGCAATTGTTGTCGAATTCAAGAGTGGCAGGCAGTCACTTTTGACAAAGTTGATCAATTGTGGATTGTCACTGGAGAGAACGCTGCTTCTTGATTCAACTTCAAACCAACCCGATTTGGTCCGACTTCTTTTAGACAGTGGAATAGATGTAAATGCTGCCTATCCAAGCCTGGACACTGCTCTTCATAAATCTTCTCAAAATAATAACATTGAATCAATTAAATTACTTGTTGGAGCAAATTCCAACATTAATGCTGTAAACAAAGATAGCCAAACAGCACTGCACAAAGCAGTGTGTGTTGTTTATTCAGAGAGATCTCATGAACCAGACCTTAAAATGGAAAAAAGAAATTTGGAAATCATTCAGTTTCTTATTGAAAACAAGGCTAACATTGATGCTGAGGACCAGCTTGGCGACACAGTGCTGCACAAGGCAGTGCAGTATGACAAAGCTGAAACAATCAAGTTACTCATTGAAGCCAAAGCAGATGCTAACTCTATCAACAAGAGTGGTGAGACAGCGCTTCACAAAGCAGTGGATGCAGGTAATACTGAGATTGTAAAGCTACTCATTGGAATAGGCTCAAATATAAACGCCACCAATGTAGATGGTGACACAGTTCTGCATAAAGCGGCGCGCAGAAACAACATCAACGTAATTGAGCTTCTCGTAAATGCCAAAATAAATATTGAAGCTGTGAACAAAAATGGAGAAACAGCCTTACTCGCAGCATCTGCAGAAAGGTGTTCTGCTCCTTTCAACAGGAATTGTACAGATATCATTAACTTAGAACTTGAATTTGGAACTAAAGAAATAATAAAAAGCGCTGGATATGGCCAATGTGCCATTGTCCAATATCTGATCGAAGCAGGTGGAGATGTTAACCTTGAAGATAGATATGGGAATACACCACTTTCAATAGCTGTAAACAATGATAATCTAATGTTAGCACACATTCTGATTAAGGCCAAAGCTGATGTCAACAAAATGTACTTTATAAGAAAAACAGAAGCTTTCCATCAACTTCTGCTCAACAGATCTCCCAAGACCATGTCATGGAAAGTTATTCTCCTGTTTATGCTACTGACTATAGCAGTCTTTCACCTAGCACAGACCAAGACTTAATGCCTTCACATACACCAGATCAAAGTCTGCTCTGGATGACACCATCTAGAAAATGTCCTCTCACTGAGATGGCCAAACTGTTGATTCATCATGGGGCAGATGTCAATATTCCCAATGAAGACAACACAACTTTTCTGATGCTGGCAGTTGATCAGCTTGATGTCAAGTGGGTTGAGACTGTCATAGCGGCCGGTGCTGATGTAGATGCCACAGGCAACAGTGTGTTGATCTGGGCTTTGAGGCTTGCCATCCAAGAAAGCAAGAATCATAAACATTTAACCAGCTTGGGAAATAACTACTGCACTTATTACACTCACACAAATTTTGCACATGCTGTTGAAAGATCCCACAAAATTCTACAGCTTCTTCTAAAGGCTGGGTCCTCTGTCAATTCTCAAAACTCTCCAAATCCGATGGTGTTGGCTGTGAATAGTTGCCATAAAGACTATGTAAAACTGTTACTTGAACGTGGGGAAAATGTCAACGCCCAAGATGATGAGTTAAACATTTTGATCATAGTGGCGTTAAGAAATAATTCTTTGGATATTGTTAAAATCCTCTTGGCATCTGGTGCTGATGTCATTAATTTTACAAATAAGTTTGGTGACATGACCTTACATTTTGCTGCAAAATGTAAAAAATGACAAATGATGCGTAGTGTCTTTGAAAAAATCGTTGGTACCAAAAGTGAAAAGAAAAATCAAGGTGGGAAGCAAGAGACATAAATGTACCCACGCAAAGATGTTTAATGTGGATGTATTAAATAACAGATCCGAAACGCCTCTTTACAAAGCAGCAGCTAGTGGCCGTTGGAAGAATGTCAAATTGAGGAGTCCAATTGCAAACCCTGCTAAGTCGATTTTTTGAAAAAAATGAGTAAGCCCCCTTGGCTCATCTATGAAGTGCTATTTCACATATTTTACTAGTTTTTAAAATCAAAACCCGCTAAGTTCGCTTATTTCGCTATTTAAAAACGGAGTGGCTATTTGCTATTCGGATCCGGCTGGTCACGTGAGGGCTTTAGATATTCGGTTGGTCACGTGATAGTTATGACGGATACTTCCTGTTGGTTTTCCATACTTAGAGCTATTATTATCAATCGAAAAATGTGCCATGTTTTGAAGAATTTCATATAGAAGAAACACGAACAATGTGCATACATCTAAAAGCAAGTAAGAATACGTTTATGTTTATAATTTTATTGTATTTTTAAAATTCTATTTTAAATATAGTTCTATAATCATTAACATGACATCAATCAAGATTCAAGATCAAAGGTTTTTTTTTGGCGGCAAATCGGCTACTGTCTTATCTGTAATTGTAATGAAAAGTTTGGCTGCGGCTATTCGGACCCGGTATCAGAAGTGGGTACTTCAATTTTAATTCACCGCAAAAATTATTATTATTCACTTTTCCAATAAAAAAAATGTTCTTTTGAAAAAAAAACGAGCCAAAAAAAAAATGGCCAAAAACAATTCGGAGAGATCAACCCGCGGCCGCCATCTTGGTTATCGTGA